CTCGAACCCGTGTCCCCTGCATCGGCAGGCGGACTCTCAACCACTGAGCCACCAGGGAAGCCCGTAAAGACTTTTTTAAGCATTGTGTTTAGAACATAAAATCTGTGCTCCCAACAAACTTCTACACAGGTCACAAAATATTATTCTTTTGATTTTTCTCCCAATTTTTAAAAAAATTGAAGTGTAGTTGATTTACAATGTTGTGTTAGCTTCAGGTGTATGGCAAAGTGATTCAGTTATACATATATATGTATATGTATATTCTTTTTCACATTCTTTTCCATTATGTTATTACAAGATATTGAGTATAGTTGCCTGTGCTATACAGTAGGACCTTGTCATTTACCTATTTTATGTAGTGTGAATATGTTAATTCCAAACTCCCCCTGCCCCCTCCCCTTTCATGCTTTCTTATTTATCCTTTGTTTCCTCTTCCCCACTAAAATGAGGGCAGGAATTTTCGTTGCCTTTGTTCTCCAGGGCTTCTGGTGACTGTCACATAGTAGGTGCTCAGTTTGTCCTTGTTGAATAACTGACCAAATGAATGAATGGAGAATTAGATACACCAAAATGTCCACTTACAGGCAGATGGGTAAATCCTGGCATAGCTTGATCGTGGACCACTCTGCAAGCACGTAATAAACATGAGGTAAGTCAACCAATCCGGAAATGAAAACACTGCCAGACACATTTCATTTTTTAATCTTTAAATTTGCGATGACTTCTGAACAGGGATTTCATGCACATGGTACAAAATTCTAAAAGTACAAAGTAAATTGTGAAAGATGAATCTTTCCCTCACTGTTCTCCCCGGACACGCGCACCCAGTTTCCCTCTGCAGAAGCAATTGCTGTCACCCTGTTATCATCTGCCAATGTGTCTTCCAAACTATTCTACCCTCTGTTGAATTTGTATGTGGACAAAGCAAAGTGCAGAACAAGAGGCACAGCATGACCCATTTATTCAAATGTTTATGGACAATCTATAGGATGACTGCATTTTTTTTACATATATTTCTTTTTCATATTCTTTTCCATTATGGTTTATCACAGGATATTGAATACAGTTCCCTGTGCTATACAGTAGGTCCTTGTTGTTTAATGCATTTTTTAAAGCTTATTACATGATATAGTTGTGGCTTATCTTTTTAGGTATTACAGACTACATTGTCCAATAACAGCCATTAGTTACATGTGGTTATTTAAATTGAATAACATTTAAAATTCAATTTTTCACTCATTCTATTCATATTGCAAATGCTCAGTAATCACATGTGGCTAGTGGCTTGCATATTGAACAGCGAAGATTTAGAATATTTTTTATCAACATAAAAAATGCACTTATAGACAGTGAAGGCTGGTTGCATATATATATGATGTCTTTTAAGTTGTAATAACTTCAGAAATATAAATGTTACAAACTTACAAAAAATCATTTGAAGTTTAATTATTTAAATTTCTTTTACACTTAATAGCTTTGTGAATTTTGAACGATACATTTTTTTAAAATTTATTTTATGAAAATGTAGTTGATTTACAATGTTAATTTCTGCTGTACAGCAAAGTGATTCAGTTATACATATATATACATTTTCATATTCTTTTCCATTATGGTTTATCACAGGATATTGAATATAGTTCCCTGTGCTACACAGTAGGACCTTGTTTTCCCAACCTATATATAATAGTTGGCATCTGCTAATCCCAAACTCCCAATCTATCCCTCTCTCCCAGCCCCACATAGCAACCACGTTTGTTCTTTATGTCTGTGAGTCTGTTTCTGTTTCATAAGTTCATCTGTGTCATATTTTAGATTCCACATATAGGTGATGAATGATATATTTTTAATTATCATTGTTTCAGTCCCTCTGTGGTAGCATTGAGGGACTTTTCATTTTAGAACCTGCTATGTCTTCCCCCCAGTGACCATGTAGTAGCTTTATAA